GTGGTCAGCGGCATTCGTGTGTCAACCGCTACATAATGTCACCGTGCGATAAAGTCGTACGCACATACTTAACACATATTATGTATTCGTACACGATACGTGTTATTGCACGACAATTCGTTTTTACGAAAACGTGTTTGCGCGTTACAGTGTAAGGAGTTCTGTGGAAAAATTACGATCCGGGAAGTAATGCCGACACGTAGGTGGCGCACGTGTACATCGTATTATTACGTATCGCGACAGCCGTCGAGTTCTGCAGAAGAACGGTCGAATCCGAGAAAGTTTGATATTCGAACGAACATATAGGTGCGCAATACCAATTGCAGAGAAGACGATAAAAAATGACAAGTATAATAAATAATATTATAATATGTGTAGCGTTATACAACGTTTCAAAATCCGTATCCGTCGCGTAGGTATAATCGTGGTCCGTTTCGAAATATATTCATGCTGTTGACCGAATTATTATACCTACAATGATGATATTATCATCGCAGACGAAGAAATACCGAATTTGTAGTCCATCGTGTTGCGACGAGCGCGTGAAAACCTCCGGTTCATTGTCCAAATAATGCTTTCGTTCAATTCCCCGTCCGCACTGCTGGACCGATCTGATACAATCGTTTCTAATGGAAATACTTGGCTACAGTGGCGGCTCGTGTGGTCCACATAAGGTGATGCACAAATAATTTATAAGGTACCTATGTGGGCGGGTAAGAAGTATTGATTTTGTTACAGGTACAGGTACGTATAACGTGCTTACTTTTCAGACTTGGGCAGAATACTTTTTAAAAGTATTTAGAAAAAATACTCGAATACTTACAAAAAATAGTATTCCGAATACATTATTATATTATTATATTGTAATAATCGTTTAACGCTAAAAGGAACCGGGAAATATTACACGTGATCGATGGGGTTCCGGGAATGAAGACATCTTATCCTGTAGAGGTGTTTGATGCGAACATCCAGTCGAGCGATTTCGGTTGTCGGGGCTTGTTAACTCTTATTTCGAAGTTGGATAGGGACAAACAGTGGTCGAAATGGCTCAAAATAAGTGGAGGGGTGCTTTATAATTCAGATTTCCTGATATCATCATAACATTCTTCACGCCTTGTGTACCTATAATGTATATATATATATTTATTTATGGTTCACATAAAGTATATTATCTTAGTCCGTGGCTCTAAATACGGGTATAATACGAGTTGCGAAACGGCTTGTACTAAACAACACGATAAGCCGGGCGCCCGGGCCATAATGTTAAAAACAATCATTTTTACTGAAAAAAAAAAAATGTCTTCTACATAAATATAAAAACGATAAGTATATCATTTTAAAATGCAAGTCTTATGCGTTATTCAAGACAAAACAAGTAGAGGGATGCCATCCCTCCGTATCCCCCCCCCACCACTTCGAGCACTGGGGAAAAAACGAAAAAATGGCTTACACCGAAACGCTACGGAGAACGATTTGACGAACATATGATTCTTACGATTGTATAACCGTGACTAGAGTTATTCAACCACGGTAGTAGCGTTGATCGCACTAACGCGGTGGCGCGTAAGCCGGGAACGGAAAGGCCGATGTGCCTGGACGAAGTTGTAAGTCGTATTACAAACATGGCACGGACGAGCAACGGCGACGACGACCGTTATTCGTTACCGCCGCATTGTTGGCGGTTACGGATTACGTTAAACGTTAGCGTACCGGTTTTCACTCCGAACGTTGCAGTACCGCTTGTCGTGGGCGCAGTACATTGTGGCGAACAGACGCCGGACGGGCGACCTATTGGATAACGACGTGACGCATTTTTATTTTTTTTTATTTTTAGCACCAAACTCAAATGTTTTAATCGTAAAAATAATATCCTCCGCTCGGCCACTACAATAATATTCCGTTCCAGCCCCGCGAACAAACTCAAACGCTGATGTTCGAAAGGAGTATTTTTTTCCTTTTCACTCCCAACTGGTACCATGTATCGTTGCAGGTCCATTGCCAACAACCATGAAAAACGAATGGAAAGCGAACCGTAATGAAAGCAAGAAATCGGAACGTTCCGAGGACATAGCAAATTAAAATCAGATTTGGAATCCACTGTGAACCCGCTTGAATAAAAATCCGTTCCTGCAATACCATCTAGACCAGTGGTTCCCGAAATGCGCGCCACGGTGTCTTCTCAGGGACGTCACGTGGCCGACCGCTCCCTGATCCGAAAATAACGATTTACGATTTTGTAGTAGACCAAAAAAAAAAAAAAAAAGTCATTGGTTTTATCAAGTTCGATATCCTCGGTTCCGAAAGGGCGCTGCGAGTCGAAAAAGTTCAGGAACCAATGATTTAAACATTATCCGTTTTTCGGAATTACTGATGCGAATCACTGAAAATTTCATAGAATTACTATTTCCACGGCACAGAAAACAAGCCGAATTGTTATTCGTACCACGCATAGGCGTGTGCACGGAGGGCGCTGAGTACGACTGGGCACCCTACAAAATGTTGTAAATGGAGGAAGGGGGGGCTAAAATTTAAGTCCAAGAGTAAAGAGCCCGCATTTCAAAAGATGATGCTTAAATTAAATTAAAATTTACTATAAAATATTTGGTAAAAAATAAATGATGTTTAGTTATATACAAATTAAAACGGAATTTTCTAAATATTCGTGCAAAAACTTACTATGATAATATAACAGCTGCAGTCCACTACATAAGTACAAATCATAAATAATTTGAGTTTTCAGAGAAAAATGTTCGAGGTTCAAGGAAAACGTATTCATTGTACCCAGGGACTGCGCGAGGGGGTGAGCAATAGGGGTAGTTGCCCAGGGCCCCGCGCCTTAAATGATAATTAAGGCCCCGCGGTTCTGATTTAACTGAACTTAAAATATTTTATTGATATAAATTATAAGACCCAACATTTATTTTTCCCAGGGCCTCGCAAACTCTAACGCCGTCACTGATTGTACCACAGTATTAAATAAAGAATTATAGTTATGTTTATTCAATTATTTATACATCGTAATTAATTATACTTGCACGTTTTGTTGAGATATGGTCCAAAAGAATTTTGGGCACCCCCTAAAATACAGGTCTGCGCACGTCTATGGTACCGCGGTATAGGTATAAATATTAAGAGTATTTAGATATGCATATTATAGATAAAAATACACATGAATAAACATAAATGTCTACGTATCAGCACAATGGCGTAATGGTGCGCGCGAAAATCAGTAAATAATAATATTATCACGTAATATCCAGCCGAAGACGATAAACGCGCTTGACTGTGTCATAAATATAAACACTTGTCCACCCGTTACGTAAGCTTAACGTTTTATGAGACCGGTGTCTGGTCTGGTTAAATAAGTTGAAAAAAAAAGCCATTCAAATTGAACTAGGTGGACACAATAACGTTGTTACGTACGTCCTACGATACAGTTAAGTAGGTAACACCTATCGCCAATGATTTTTGAATAAACCTATCACATAAATAATCAACGCCACAATCAGGGTTCGGCCCATTATCCCAGAGTTAAAAGCGGTTCTACTATCTGACCACAGACGTAATTAGTTGGCAGCTAGAGGGTAACTTAACCGCCAAAATGGTTTTTTGCCCCCCAAATAATATAACGAGAAATACTTTATAAATAAAGCAAGTGTGAACCATTAACTATAGTTATTATGACAGCCCGGCACAGACAAATCTAAGCATGTTCGTGACCATTGGATAGAAAACTGCAGAGATTTAAAATAAATTGGTTCATAAAAATTTATTTACTTTTTGTATTTTTCATAAATATAATAACTAATATACAGGGAAAGGCCTTGACTGGATCCAAACTAATTTCAGATCAAATATAAATATTAGGATTGATTTTTTTTTTTTTTATGATTATATCAATTATTCATTTCTGAAAATTTAATTTTAATAACAATTATCTTGATTTATAAATATTATACTCGACCATGGCGCCTTGTAAGCTTTTCAACAAATGTTTTTACAATTGCATACTATTAATAGGGTGGAAATCTTCAATACAAAATTTTATTTTGTTTGCATTTAAAAATTTGATTAATGCGTAATAGGTTATGAGTAGACACACATACATATTCCTGGACATATAGCACAGAAACTACAAAAAAAAATTAATCAAAACAGTAAAACATTAACTGCATTTGGATGACTGATTGATTAATTAATCCATGTTGGGTATAAAATAATGAAATATCAAATGTGAACATCATATGGTTGTGGTTAATCATTTTGAGGAATTCAATTTTTATAAATTGTGATTGCCTAATTGTACTAAAACAGTGGTTCTCAACCTGGGGGGGGCGCAAAAATGTTGAAAATAGAAACATGAAAAATGAAAATGTTGTCATTTAATATGTCGTGCCTTGCCGCTGTGTTGGTCGCCGCCGTTTAGGATTTTTATGCAAATAAATTAATTTAATATTAGAAAAACTTCATTGAAGTTTTATTCTTATTAATCCAATAACTAACATTAAAGTATAGTTTACATATAAATATTATCCATACATCTATCTTATGGTAGTGAGAGGCTGGGGCATAAACTCATAAAATAGTTTTAAAGGGGGCGCAGACCTCAAAAGGTTGAGAACCCATGTACTAAAATGTATTATTGTAGGGAACGTACATTTATTATTTAATAGAATTAACTTGAATATACATTTACAAAAATAAAATTAACACAATTTTAATAAAACAATTTCACAAACAATAATACCAGATATTTATCTGGCTAATAACCATTTAAAACAATATTTTATTTTATTTAGCGTTATAGATACTACTTAACAATAATAATCATTGTACAATAGATTTAAATTCATAATTTAAATTTACAAATAAAAAACCTATAAATTGTATAATTTCAAACTTATTTTTTAAAATTTAATAACGAAAATATAATAAATATATAAATTGCTTGATAGTACAAATATAAACTTAATATTATTTTTTTAAATAAACATTTATAATTGAACAAAATAATTATTTATTAGGTAAATTAAATCAGACAACTTTTTTAAAATAATTATTCTATTACTTAACTTGTTGGCTGAGCCGTTGTAAAAATTCATAATATGATAAGGATGACTCAAATTTATCTTCAACCAACCGACTATAAAAACGTAATTTATGTGGTCCATTATCCCTAAAATAATAATAAAAAAAAAATTTTAATGGTAATTATGAATAATAGTGAGTTTTAAGTATAAAACATAAATAAAAAAGAAATACTCACTTTATTATTTCTATTGGTAATGAATAGGGTTTAAAAGTTTGTAGATAAGAAACAAAACTATGTAATAAATAAGATGGCTTGGAATCCACTTCTGTAAGTGAAGTCTGTAAAAGGAACAAATCAATTACAAATATTGTGCACAATAATATTAACATAATGAAAACAAATAAAACTAAAGAACTTTAGGTATTCATATTTTATGCATAAAATTTTAATAATATAAAGAAAAAGTTTTCAGGATATCATCATTTAGTTTCTACAACATTATCAATGAGAAGAATGGTTCTCACAATCAACCAAAATTTTTTTTGATGCATCGATAAAGATACAGATTGGTAATTAATTAATATACAATAAACAAAATTAAAGTGGTGTTAGGATAAGATTTTATCAATTTATCCTTCAATTTGAAATTATGAACAGAATATAGCCGTAAATTTTTCAATGAAAAATTGTTATAATGTAAAAAAAAAAATTATTACAATTATTAACTACATCGATTGACCAAAAAATAAATCAAAATTAATAGTTTTTTAGAACTTACAATTAATTCTGGCATTGAATTGAAATTCACATAACCAAATAACTTTTGAATAAGTTGATCTGAGCATCTATGTCCAATAAATATTGTTAATGTTTCACTGTCATCCATTAAATAAACACCATTAGACTCAACTCGTTCTGCAGATAGTTGTATGACTGGTGGAAGAGGAACTTCTGTTAACTTCTCATAATTTACTTTAGGCTAAATAAAAATGAATTTAAAATGTTATTATAGTGCTTAATATATCACATTCAAATTAATTCTTACCTGTTCTTCTAAATTATGTATAGGATATAAATCTGGATAGATGTACTGAATAAGACTATTTAAAGGTAAACTTTTCATTTGACACATACTAAACATCCGTTCATCCAGTCGAGTAGGTTGATTAGTTCTAAATGCAGCCTATAAATAATAATAATAATAAAAAAAAAAAAATAGGTAAGCTATTTATAAAGCCAACATATTTTAATAATTACATGTTTCAATGTAGCTAAAATATACAATGGGAATACTCTTAGTGACAAAGGTGATAACATAGTTCCAGGACCACTGTAAGATGAGCAGCCAAGTTTAAATGCAGATAGAGAATCTGAGATAGCATTGAAAAATGCTTCACGCGCATCAGATAATGATTTTTCAGTACTTCGATCAACAGCTAAATAACACATAATTTAAAATTAAAATTTTATTTTTATAATTTTTTATTTACTTAATTCAAATTACCCATTTTTGCTATTAAACATGTAATTGCTTGCTGATCAGCATTATGAAAAACATCATTTAAATTATCAGTAACTGGAATGCATAGTGTGTGCACTCTAATACGTCGTTCAGCTGTAACAGAAAATTTTATAATTAAAAAAAAAAAATTACATATTAATTAAACTATAATTCACTGTTAATATTACCATTGCTGGAAGTATAAAGTAATGCTGCTTGGAAGCAAACAACATGAACTCCATCTAAATTTTCTTCAATAGATAACTGCATTCCATATGCATTATCAGGATTAACATTAGGTAACATAAGCAAATCAGATGAGCGAACAAAGAAATTTCCATGAAAAGAGTGTATTGCCACACCACGTGTACAACGTAATCTTAAGAGAGCTTCAAAACCAATTTTACGAGACAAGTATCGATCAAAACAGTTTATGAACCTTGTTACTAGAGTTGGAGACTTAACATCAAACTGAGAGAAATTATGTATACATCCAGCAGAGTATTTTGATATTCCCGCTAAAAATAATTAAACATAATTAATATTTATTAGATAATTTGTTATAATATTTTCATACAAATGGTAGCAATATCTAAATATTGTGAGGATACAAAAAACATATCAACAGCAATTTGCTCTGCACTACATTCAAGAGCCAGTTTCTTGTAAAAATCAGTAGATGGGTCCATATGAACAACACGATCACCAGTATGAGGTTTCCCATCATCTCTAGGTTGTAAGTTACCAGGCCCACAGTTTGGTAAACATGCTTGAAATACAGTAACTCGACCTCCTCGTGGTGCTAGTAATTTAAAAGCTGCTTGGAGAGCAGCGCCTAAGGCACAACCAGTATTGTAAGACTCTTTATAAAGGCTAGGCAAACTAGTCAATAGATCTTTTATGGCAGACTTATTTTCTTCTAAATTTACCATAAGGCCTTCAGGTAAAGGTAAAAATATATCTAAAAAATAAAAAATAATGAAAATAATTTTAAATTTACAAGGTTATAATTTTTAATTACCAGTTATATCGCTAACAATAAGTTGTTTTGGTTGTCCTCCATCACTATTTGAGATTTGATAGAAGTGAACTGAGGAATCATAAGTGATGAAACCAATATTAGTACGTGAATCACCAGGTATATCATTTGACATAATTTTATTCAAAATTCTATCACAGACAATTTCTAAGTAACCGGTTAAAGTTGCTGTACGAGATACATCCAAAAGGAAAAGATATAAAGCTGGTTGTGGTGGTCTAACCTAAAGCAAGTAAAATTAATAAATTAAATATAATAAATTATATTATTTAGTAAACTAACCATATAATCTTGTGAAGCAATGTACTCAATAGTAGCATTTTGTATTTCTGGCCTTCTTGATGGGTCACCAAGTGTCTTAGTATATGGATCAATTTGAAACTCTGCTGGTACTGTAACACACTAGATCATTTAATACACAGTTCTATTAAAACTGGTGTTGTTTTAACACTGCACTTACATTCATTGACTCTGTAGCATAAGTTACACTTCCAATGTGCATTATCAATAAATTGAACAAATGGATTTATATACGAGCGACAGTTTCGACATCTTGTAATAGTTTCACATTGAATTACAGTTAAACGCTAAATACATCAATTGTATGTATAAAAATAGATAACATACACTTAATTTTATTTAAAAAAAAAAAGAAACAAAATCTACTTACTGATAGATCTTTATAAGGATGTATTAATATTCCTAATGGTAATCTACTCTTATCTAGCAAAGTTTTAGAAGATGGAAACTTGTTCATTGTACAACGAAATATACTGCATCAAATAAATAAAATTAAAAAAAATCATAATTGAATAATATAATGACATGAATATTTTTAAAAAATCATACTCCTGAGAACAGTTATCACAATTAGCATATCCTTGAGGAAGTTTAATCTCTGGTGGTTGAACACCATCACCTGGTAGTACATCTCTTGATTTTAATAAATCCAGATTATCGTAACCCTTTAAAATACATTAAATATTGATTAATGTTAGTTATATTTTAAATTGTATTTAATATACCAAGTACAATAGTTAATAGTAGGTTACATATTGCATAATACACATTTATGGCCAAAATATGGACTTTTTTATGTTATTGAGTAACATTATATTTAATGTAATGAATAGCAGATATCTGAAGACCATATATTCTTAATAATTCTAAGGGAAAAAGGATTTAAAAAAAAAAAAATTTAAATAATTTTATCAACATTTTTAAAAATATCTACTGAAAATTACTAGATTTTAGAAATATATGATAAATCAAATAATGTATTATTTATCAATAATAAAATTATAATAATTAGAGTATGGATTTTGAAGGCATTTACTTTTATTTTTTTGTTGCTTTAAAACGAATATATGTCAGCTACAAATTTGATTTATACTACTCAGAATAAAATGCAAGACATTTTATTTTGCTTTTTTTTTTGTATATTAATGCTTTTTTAGGTATTTTGAGTACTCTTTTTTGTTTTAAGTTACATTTTTTTCAAAATTTGTTCCAAATCTTGTTTTATCATTTCTTGAAAACCTTTTACCATGTGTTAAGTTTATCACATACCATATAGTATAAAGTTAGTAACTAATTCATCTAACAACAAAGTATACACAAATATGCTCATGTTTTGGAAATTATCTACTCAGAATTATAATTTAGTTTTTGTTGTAACAGCTAGTCATTTACAAATTGCCGAAAATTATTAATTTTTTTTCAAAAACCCATTTTTAATGCTTTTTTAAAAAATGTAAATGTAAATGTTTTATTGATTTTAACAGTTTTTGTTGCTTTAAAATCTTTACTCTAGTAATAGTGATAAAGAATAATAATAATCAATTTACCCATGTCTTTGCAAAACCTTGTTGTACAGTTGTAGAATTCTGTTCTGTTTTATATGGGTCTTGTTGTTGATTAAGAAATCCTTGTTGTCCAAGATTAGTGTTTGGTTGCTGGTAATTTATTTGGCTGGATAAACCCATATTACTTTGAAGTGGATATCCTTTAGATGGTAATTGTACATTTTGACCTTGTAATAATGTTGGTGGCTGAGATTGTTGAACATTTATATTCCCCTGACTTTGGTTGTAGTAATTATTAGAAGGTAAATTACTAGGATATACTTGGGAGCCAAGCTTTTGAGATTGTTGATTTATACTAGGAGGTATAGAAGGTAAGTTAGAAGATAGGTTCATAGGCGGCTGTGAAAGCATTGAATTAGTTTGATGTGAAATTGGTGTAGTTAACTGTAGACTTGATTGATTTATATTCGGATGTGGTGGCCATTGACTATTTGCTGGTTGAGCTGAATTTGTGTTGGTATACATCTGATTACTTGGAAACGGTTGTGATGGATATTGATTAGTAATCGTTTGATAAGGTGGAAATATATTTCCTTTAGATTGATTATTAAATGGTTGAGGTGGATATTGAGTAATTGATTGTTGAATAGGCTGAACACCTAGTATGGGTTGTTTATTTAATGATTGTGATGGATAACGATTAGTAGTTTTATTCAATAGACCCGTGTCTAATCCAGGTTGATTACTGATCATTTGTTGGGGAAACTGATTTGGTGTTGATGAAGCCGATGTAATCATACTCATCCTTGGTTGACTTGACTGAAGAGAAGGAATAACTTGAGATTTTGGTTGATTATTTAACATTTGAGGAGGTAACTGATTTACTGTTGTAGGAATTGGTGGAACCATATTAGATCTTAATTGATTATTGAACGGTTGTGATGAATATTTGTTTGTTGTTTGAAGGGGGCTAATGTCTGGTTTGGATTGATTACTGAACATTTGTGGAGGTAACTGATTGCCTGTTAACAACTTTGGTGAAACAGAGTTTATACTTGGTGGATTACTGAATAATTGTGTTGAATATTGACTTGAAGCTGGTTGAGGATATGCTGTAATACCTAATTTAGCTTGATCATTAAATTTTTGTGGTGGAAACTGGTTGATGGCTGATGATGTACACTGTAAAGTTGGTTGATTATTAACAGAAAAGTAATGATTTGAAGTATTTTGCAAAGATGATGGCATAACAACTGGCTTTGGTTGATCATTGTATGTTTGAGGAAGAAATTGAGTAACAGGTGGAACTGCATTAGGGATCTGCTGATTATTAATGGGTTGAGTAGAAAACATGTTAGTTGATGATTGAAGGGCCGATACATTCTCTGACTTAGATTGACTACTGACCATTTGAGGTGAAAACTGGGTAACAGGCGATGACACAGTAGGAACCACAATTGGTGTTGGTTGATTAGTAATCGGTTGTGTTGAATATGGATTTGATATTGGTTGGAGAGAAGAAATAGTATCAGACTGTTGTTGATTGTTAACTGATTGTGTTGAATATGGATTTGATATTACCTTGGTAGGTAATGCAGCATCTAATTTAGGTTTATTACTGAATATTTGAGGTGAAAACTGGTTAGTAGCTGATGAAATAACATTTTCCGTAAATGTATTATTAAATTCTTGAGGAGGCAATGGGTTAGCTATTGGTTGAACAGTTGTCTTAACATCAAGTTCAGATGAATTATTTAATGGTGATTGAGGTATGTTTTTGACTTCTGATAATTTTGATGATGAATTACTAATATCATTAATTGAAGAAGAAAAATTTGAAAGTTCACCAACATCTTCTCTTTTGTTAAATGATGTCTGTTTAGAAAAATATGAAGTCGATGTTAACTGAATCTGGTTAGTTGGTTGATTAACAGGTTGACCTTGTTGATTTTCAATTGTTAAATTAGAAAATTGATCATTAGGTATAATATTATCATTACTTTTAAATGAATTAACATGTGAATTATTAGATTGGAGCGGAATAGACTTTGTCGAGTTTAATTCAATTGTTTCTTTTAGTGATACATTGGAATCTAATTTTAGACTATCAGCTATTTCAAATTTATTTTCTATTGATGATGGTTGTTGATTTAAAGATAAAAAATTTGCTGCATTATTTTGTGAACTAGAAACTTCCACAAAATCATTAGTTTTGGATGATGATGAAAAACTTGAAATAACAGGTTTTATATTATGTGTATTGATATTTTCTTGTTGGCTATGAGACTGTGGATTGAACACATATTTATTATTTGCACTGATAGAATCAAAATAATGACTTGTATTATGACCAGTCTTTGGTTTAGATTGTTGTACAGTTGCATTTTGGTTGTTTACTGTTTGGGATACCAAATCTAATGGTGACTTTGTATTATCATCAAAGGTAGATTTTTGAGATATAAATCGATTTTGTGATGATTGCTGATAATTTGAACTTTGTTCAAACATAGTATCAGTAGAGTTAAAATAATTATTTGATTGAGTACAATTTTCTATTGGTGTTGGAACCTGGGACTTAACATCAGCTTGTTGATTTTCAAATACCTCATTACTTGAAGATTGCAAAGTTTTATCATCTAACTCTGATTGCACCATATTTTTTGAGTCCTGATTATCTGAACTGGTTGAATTGTTAATAACAGCATTAGATGAATTGAACAGACATTTATTCTGTTCATCAGATGTCGGAATTTCTTCTTTTTTAGGTATAGAAGACAAACTTATTTCAGTAGGAGTTGCTATGTCAGATGAAGTCATGAGACCTACAGACTGAGTTGACGTCAATGATGGATTATAAGTTGAAAACTGTTGATTAGTTATAAGTTTACTATCATTCAACTCTTCAGAGGCAGATGATTTTGAAGTATTATACATAGATTGCTGGCTAATTGATTCAATAATTTGTACATTTTGTGGATAATGCAAATTATTTATAGTAGATTGCATAGATTTACAACTATCCTGATCATTTAATATTTGATCTGATGATGTGGACTGATTGCAAGCTTTTTCATCTTTTGTATTACTATTAATAGCACTAGGTTGTGAGTTAGAATTGGTAAGTGAAACATTGAAATTTTGATATACTGGTTGAACATGTTTATTTTGTTGACTATAATTTGTTGGTTGTAAATCCGCATTAAAATTTTGAATAGATGCCGATTTTTGTTGACTTGGTATAGTATTGTCATATGGTAATACCGGCAAACTTTTAAGAGGTTGTGAAATTGAACAAGGAGGTAAATTAGATTGGGTTAAAGTATTTGAATTATTTAAATAGAATTCTTTAAAAGAATTAGCATTGCTATTAAAACTGGGAGTCTGGACTTGATTATTTTCATTATTAAATTCAGTCGAGTTTAAGTATTTTTTATTAGCATGATAATCATACATTTGAACTCTCGATGTGTCGAAAACTTGTTCATTCAATTGAAATTTGAGGTTTTCGTGATTTTCTAAGGTATGTTCTTTTTCATCTTGATTAGTATTATCAGATAAGGGAATGTCTTCAATATCATCATCTTGATTATAAGCACTATGTAAAATTGAATGTTGATGATCATCAACAACTTCATCTTTATTAAGACTTAAATCAGCAAACTGGCTAGGTACTGGGAACTCTTGATTTGAAGACATAACTGTTTTTGATTCTTTAGTTACATGACACTCAATGTTTTTACTCAACACATGTTTTGAAAATACATTACTTGGGTGTATGCTTTCAGAATCTTGATCAGTAGTACTTTCAGAATACAAAGAAGAAGTATGTCGTGGTGAACTCTCAGTAGATGTTTCTTCCATATCATATTCAATGATTTTGGGTTCAGGATAAGATTTGTTTGAAGAAAAATAATTAGGATTCATATTTGCTGATATAGATCCTTTACTAGTATTGTATTTATCTACTTGCGGGAGATCTGAAACTTTTTTCGATTGTTGTGGTAATAAACCAGTAAGATGGGGTTGCAACTGAAAGTCTGGATTTATTGGATAATTTTCAGTATTAGATTGAGCAAGTCTTATGACATCCTAAATCAAAAAAAAAAATTTAAAAATTACAAATGTAATTATTACTAAATAGTATCATAAATTAAAAATTAATGAATTATACAAAATAAAGTATCAAATATTGATAAGAGTATACAAATATTAGACATAAAGTAATAAGATCTAAATTAATCACTCAGAGATATTTTATAATTTCTAAACTTAATAAATTTTACTTACCGGAATTGAAGAATTAGAATTTTCATAAATCTCTTTAGAAACAGTTCTAGGTGGTCCAGACAAATGTGGTGGTTCATTAGAATTCATTTGATATAAATGATAATTCATTGATGGAACTGTATTAGAATTAGAATTTCTTCTTTCGTTAAATGGAGATTGATCATGAGATGATATACTTCCTAAAATAATAACAATAGTATTAATATAAAATAGTTTACAAAACATATAAATAGATACTATAGAAATTATTAAAATACAATTTGAATGTCCTTACCACTTAAATTTAAAGTAAAATTAACTGTAGCAGTATTATTAATTAATTACTGATTTAAAAATATATTATAAAAACACTAGTAAATTGTATCATATACCAATTACATGAAATAGTAATCCAAAATATTCTATTTTATGATTTTCATTTAAACATTTACCAGTAACATTAACCATTTACAGCAACCATTTAAACAGTAAAAATATTAATTTTAAAGAAAAATTTTAAGAAATAAATTTGAAATATTTTAATGTAAGATAATATTAACAAAGAAATTCTGTTATTACAAAACTGACAAAGTATTTTTTTTAAATCATAATTAATAATATGTATATAAATTCTGTAGTATTATGAAGAACAATTAATTGTTTCAACTAACTTACTTATGTAAATAAGTATTAAAAAATGTTTTAATTTTTAAGAAATATACATGTTATAAGAGTAATGATTATTAAAACAAAAATTATGAATGATTTAAGACTAATAACAAGCTGTCTATCTAGCTTGTTTTAAAAATGATAAATATTAGGTATCCTAAATCTGCACAGCACATATAATTTTATAAAAATATGAATACATGTATCACAGTTCCAATTGTTATTATTACCAATAAATATTGTAGGTAAGTAAATTAAAAATGTATAGGTATTTGGCAATATTTTAGGTTACTCTTTAGGTTATTTTAGATATCTCTGTGTAAATTTAGTTCTTTTTGCATTTATTTCATAAGCTATACGGATATTTACCAGTAGGTTATAGATTTAATATTTAGTAATGTGAAGTTAAAAGATACTTATAGAATGTGTTGATGATATATGAAGAAGGTTTTATAATGATTTATTATATACCTCAACAATAATTTCGACAGAGTAACTATGTCAAAATGATAACTATGTGGTTTTTTTGTAATTTTTTTATGATAGTAGTAATATTTCAATCTATTTTTGTTATGAAATAATTTCAAAATATAATATATTTACTATGGAAATAATTGTTTAATAGATGAGTATTGTAAATAAAATAGAAATAATTACATTATATCTACATCAGATAGTATAATAAGACATAATACTATATAATGTGCATATAAAGGTACAATTTAGCATTCTAATTGATGGTACACAAACCTAAAGTATTAATGAATTACCAAATTTTAACCATATGTCAGTATAATTTTGATTTATACTATATATATTTGTACTATTTATATTTACACTATTCACCACAATTTTAATTTATTTTAAATCTATAATAGTAGTTTTGTATGGTTGTAGAGATATTACAACCTTTACTAGTTACCAATTAAATATTAATTTTTGTTTACCATATTTCAGTTTAAAATCTTTTGATAATCAATTAAAACATTTAAAATATAACATATTTATTCAAGATGATTTTCTTCACTTGTTAGTATGAAAATATCACCATAGTTGTGAATTTTAAAAGCAATACAGCTTAAAATTTTAATTCAGGTTAGTTTAAATTTGATTAAAACTAATAATAGAAATTAGAAAAGTAAAATCATTTTAAAGATGTAGAATTATAATTCAGTATACCTATATAACACCTAGAAAATTATCTATATCAACGGTTCCCAACCCATGTGCTGCGAGCAGGGTAGTATTGGGTTGTAAACCGTATAGTATTAACATAATTAATGTGTATTTTTAAAATATTAAATATTAGCAAGTGAAGAAGATTCATTGATTAAACTTTCATGTGATCAGACTCTAAAATTGTTTTTTAAAACCATACTATTAGTGTCATTCTGGTTAAATATTTGACAAGATAATCCAGCAATCCCTAAAATTGCACTTAGAAGATTGATGAGCTATATTTCTACAACTTATGTGATTGAGCTTTTTCTACTAAAATTTTTTTTTAAAAATAAATCGAATATTGAAAGTGATTTAAGACTAAAACTATCCTGTTTTATTTAAACATTGATTCTCTTGTGGGGGGACAAGCAAAGTTAAAAATTACATTAAATAAATAATTTAAATAAACTCTTGAGTAATCTGGTTTTAGTCTATTGACTCCTCTAATAGTAAAAATTACATAAGCAGATAGGATTAAATATAATTTCTAGATTTACCAGAGTAATTATCAGTCAACTGGGTTCCGTCAACGGATGGTTGATTAAACGGAGAAACTCCGTTTGATAGAGAATTGGCTGTTGAAAAAAAAAGAAAACGAACAGTTACAATTGAAGGGATACAACGGTGAGCCAGTGCACATAGTACGAAAATGCTTACGGTTCTGATGGAAATAGTTGAATCTGTGATCCATGGTTATCTTGGTAAACGGAAAACCTGAAAAACGTACAAAACACTCGAACTTGACACGATTCAGTACAGTATACACAGCGATAGGAATGTAGCTCAAGGTTTCCGGGTTGCATAAAAAATCCGAACGCAATCACGTAAGTGAAACTCTCCACTGACCTGTCAAAGCCGTCCACTCACGAGCCGTATTTCGCAAGACTGACCAACGTCGGTTTCATGGCGCTGACGAGGGGGAAAAAAAAAAAAACCAAAAATATTTGGTCGAAACGTATTTTCGAAGTACGCGAACACCTGCGACGCGGCAGCGGTTGCGGGGCGACGAGGGTTTTTTACGGGTTCACTGTTTGGAATCGGGTCCGCGGTGGTGTCGGCGAGTACGCGGTAAATCCCGGGTTCGACGAGACGGAAATTACGGTTTACGAGGCGAACGACACGACGACGGTAGATGACGACAATTAGAAACGTCTATTATCGCGCAGACATTTATCGTCGTGCGCTATCTATTCACCCGATCGCCCGCGCTCGTGCGTGTGTTAGTGAGCACACGCGCGCGCACACACACGAGCAGACACGTCATGTACACGCACACGCACACGAGGCAGTGCGCATTACGTAGTGATTAGAGCGCGGTGGCGACGGCGGGACCGGGGGAGCGGGAGGTGATAGGGCGACCCGAACGCGCCCGCAAACGGTTACGTGGAACCGTCCGGCCTTTCGGGAATTTCGGGACGGCCAGATTTTTCGCTTTGGCGAAATTTTTCGTTTCGCCGAAAGCCACCGGTTTCTCGGTCGACGCCGGACGAACCGAAAATTTCGGCCGGCGACCGTCGGGAAGATCCGTGGCCGCGTTTGCGAGTCGCAACGTCGCGCGCATTCGGCACCGAGGTCACGCGCTGAACGCGACCATTGCCGCCGAGGTGTTCCGAACGTGCGCTATTGTTATGAATGTATACTTCTAATGTAAACATTTTATTTTTTTAATTTTACTTTTTAAATTTCCTCCAGTTATTCCCTTCGATCTTCCGTCGTTCGCCGACCACGCAGAATCGGTTTAGATTTCCAACACTGCTATCGCTTAGTTCTCGGTAAATTTCTAAGGAAAAACGTCAAAAAATATATTTATAAAGGCCGGTTTACACGCAACGACTTATTGTACGTTTTATCGAACACGACTAATCGTATCAAGTAAAACGGAGCGTGTATACAGTAAATCGTACGTCGAATCGGAATGAAATCCAAGATTGGATCGAAAGACTGATGGGCGTGGATTCATTTTACGCGAAGTTGAACGACATGTCCGTCACATGTAATTACAAAATTGGTGTATAATATAACTTTTCGTCCTTTTTAGGTTTAATTTTCTACTGTACGGAATAGTTTTAACAACTTAGTTTCGTTTTTTCTTTGTTTTTAATAATTATAATATATTATAGTAGGACCTATCATTAGTAGGTGTATTAACCTATTATATTTAGTAAATAATATAAAATTTGATTCGCATGGTATTTTTTTGTTTTCTTGCAAACATGTCTGATTTACGAAATTCTGTTGCACACGTACTAGGAACATTATGGTAAACCACAATAGTACTTCTACCATGTCGTCAAACATCACTAAAATAACTGAATGCTATTGAAGAATGAACAGAAATACAGTTGAAACTGGCATAGGAAACTGAGTAAAAGTTGGAACGTGTAGACACTTTATAAAATGTACGTCTTATTGTTCATTTTATATGTCCAGCAAACAAAACGTGCACTAAGTCGTTGCGTGTAAACCGGGTTTGACATTGCAAAACTATTAAATCATTTTTTTTTTTTTTTTTTTTTATTATAATAATATCTTCTCTTTCAGCGATCAGTGTTATTTCAGATTTAGGTGTATCTATCGTATTCATCATTATTTTTCTTGGTACTATAGGGCAAAGTCGTACATAGACCATTTTTTTCGAGAGGGGTCTAAGACATGGATATTGTAATTGTATTGAATTTAGATTTTAACTTTTGATATTTAGTTAAAAATATACAGAAAAAGATTTAATCTTCTTTCATTAAAATTAATATCATATTTTCATATGATATTATGATATAAAATTAAAAGCAGTCAATGATTAATCAGAGCTTGAGTAATTTTTGACTGAAAATATTTATGTTGGTTTTTAAAAATAAAGTATTTTAAACATTTGTAGAATATTAACGACATTTCGGGGGGGGGGGAGGGTCCAGACACCCTGAACCTCCGGATATGGCCTTGCTATAGGATATCACAAAACGCGTTTATATTGTTAGTACATTACTCGAGTACATATTTGATATGATTTTCCTTGAAAACTGGAACAAATTGTATTTTTGGATTAGGTTACTTATATAATATGTACTTAAAATTATTGAAATGCACATTAAAGAAAGCCTTGCTCATATTTTGTTAGTTCGGTGTATTAATACGTACGAAATACCTGATTGAGTAAATACCTTAGTATTGATTAATATGAATAAATTAAAAGAAAATATCTGCACTGCTCTTTACTATAACAGTTATTAGTAGTAGGCTTAAAAGAAACAATCATAATATTATAAATAACAATATAAAATAAAAAAAGATGAAATTCTTAAGTCGGATGAGATGATACAGAGATGGATGCAGTGGCGGCACGAAGTTTATTTTCCAATGAAGCAGTTACATGTATCGAGTACCCACTTCATAAAAATTATTGAATTTTATTAAAATAAAGAAGTCCAAACAAAATAAAATGTAATAGTATTTAATGTCAAATGTGCAAACTATTTATTAAACTTTTCTATCGTACAACATTGTCTACCCACTCCATTTCAGTCAAAGCAGCTGCTCCAATGATATCCGCATCGCGCCACCACTGAATGGATGAATAGTGTTATTGAACGATAATTGTCTTTTATACTTGTAACTATTACAGTATTAATCTCGTAAAAACGATATTATGTGAAAGAAGTCTGATGGTTAAGTTTATATTTTAGAAATAGTTGATATAGTAGTATATTCAAATAAGTATATAGTAAATATTTCTTAATAAGCAAGGTTAAACTTTTAATGTTAGATTTTTTTTGTGACTTTTCAGTAAAAATTTTATTTTAACAACAAAGAAAATCTTATGAAAAATCTTGTATCTAATTTTAAAGTTTTTGGTATGAAAATTTAAAGTTTTACGAATTTTTAATTACAAAAATGCAGGTAGCGAATTTCTATCGTTTGTTCAACATTTAGTACTCAAATGGTCGTACAACTTTTTTTATTATTTTTAATCAGTAATATAATATAATTAGCTATAATATTAATAGCTCAATTTTTTTTTTAACTATTCTATTTATATCGAACGACAAAATAAGCATTCAGTAAAAATTTCAAGTTTTTACAATAATTCATTTTGATTTACGATAAAAACAAAAACTCTATTTGGTTGAAAACAGTGTGCCATTATTTTGTCGTTTTTTATAACTGTTCGTCAGTTTTTTTGAAATTATTAAAACAAACTGTAGAGAAATTCGTAATATATAGGATTGGAACAATTCTTGTCTTAGACCTTAAATCGTTTGCACAAAATACAAAAAAAAAAAAAAAACAATTTATGGTACAACTCCCATATTTCTTATTTTACTCAGAATCTAAAAAGTTTAAAATATTAATGGTTACTAACATTGATATATTGATTTGTTGGTACTGTGAATATGTAATTTATAAAAATTCATTATTTGTTTGCATTTAAAATTTATCTAGAAATATGATTGTTAACGATATGAGTGAAATTTTCACTTATATGAAGTAACAGTTAAGTTATTGATAGTTACGTTTATATACATGTCCATGTAAAATACATGGTCAATAAATATTAAATAAAGAAATAATCATTGAAAAGTAGAATTTATTTTCGTATAAATCAAAGATCATATAATTTATAATTAATATTAAATTAATAATAATAATTTAAGTATTTTAATTTAAAAAAAATGGTTAAATTATAAATACGTATAAAATGTATAAATTTGTAAGAATTTAAAACCATGCAAAAAAAAAAAATAGATATATATTATTATATTATTATTATTGATATAATTAATATAATTTAGGTTAATCACTATATGTTTTTTTAATTAAATTAAATTAAGTATAATAGCACTTAGAATTTGAGCTTTAATTAAATTGGTTGTTTTTACAATAATAGTATCTTGTATCTTTTGGGAAAAAAAAGAAACATGATACTTGATACTTTAAAATTATACTGCCTAAACCTACCTATAGTAATAACTAATTATAATAAACTGTAAAGTAGATAATTATGTTAAGTCTTATCTTGAAATACACAACAATTTTAGTTTCGAGATTATAAATATTTTTCTAAAGGAAATAGTTAATAATCAATATTCAGTCGTTTTAGTAGCTAGGGTTGATATCAGTTATAGATATATTAGAAATACGGTATTGTTTAGAGTGCTTTATGGAGCACAATATTGGACACAAAGTTTGAAACTAACGGGATGAGAGAAGCTGGAAACGATTCAATGCAGGATCGGTATCTAATGAGTTTACTCATAGGTATAGAAAAGTTTCTTATGTGGCAGTCTTGATGGTAGCCTCTATTCCCTCGCTAAGACTTAAAGCAAATAAGTGGACTGACGCTTTTAATAACGGAAATTAAAAGGTTTCACTGGATGAAATATTCATTAAATGACAAAAGCAGTGGAATATATCAATAAATAGTAATGAATGCATATATTGATCTACAAAATCAAGGATTGGGTCAACAGGAGACACGGAAAAGTAAACTTCCATCCAAACCAATATTTAACTGGTCATGATTCGTTTAGTGAAAAGTTATTTCGTTTTAATCAATCGCTTTACAAACATTTGTCAACTGAAGTTTTGGAGTGAGTCCTGACACTACCCCAGAGTGATGCGTGGGATGTCCTACGTACAGAGTTGGACGCATATAGTGAGAAAATCTGACGACAAATAAAATGGTGCAAATTATGCTTAGATCCAAAGAAAACTGTAATAGGATAAATATAGCACTAATCAAGATAATTATCACCGGATTGAAAATCGAGAGAGAATTAGAATGAGCACAATTTTAAGTATATATAGTTGAATAATCTGAAATGTCGACTAAAAGTCAAAATTAGGGGTTCAGAGCCCTGTTTTATTATACCATTTGGTTACTTATATATTTTTATGTATTTACGTGTAGGCATCTAATAAATTATGTGGACCGGAGGAAGTAGTGAATTCGGAGGGAGTTCACGATAAAAAAAATATATATATTACAGTTGTAGTTATAAGCTACATAAGTCAAACATAATGTTAAGTTAATTATATTAACTTACGTAGTGTAATAATTATTTAATTTATTGTTATGGTTATTGTAACAGCCAACTGACGAATCAAAATTGAAATTTAACGTATGCGAAATAAATAAATTTATTAAGTTAATATTAATATCCTCTTGTCATTTAATACGATTTTTTTTCTATGGCGAGTAACTCATTAGTCATATAACATATTCCATATATTACCAGTGCCGTAGCAACCAAATAATGTACTCGGAGCGAAACTTCAAAATGCGCCCTTG